AATCCGGTATCACAGAAAAAGAAAAAGCTGATGAGCATGCATCAATTTCATGTATAGGTTTTGAAACAGCTGTGAGGGTAACAAAACCTTCGCTGCGGAACGAACTTGTGTCTGACACCGAGAAAACGCCTTAGAAAAGAACTGGGATAGGGATCGGTTCAGAACACTGGATACTGTCGATTGAGGAAACAGCTGAACTGAATAATGCTGTCGAAGGAAAACTGGATCACAGGAGGCAAACAATTTATAGACAACCCAAAGTATGTTCAAGAAGATGAGATATACATTCAGCAAAAAAAATGTAAAACGAACATGATTGTTGGAATTTGTGTCAAATGAAAGATGCAGAGGAAGACAATAATAAATGGATAATTCAAATAGCTATTAAGTAGTAGGAGAAAATGGAAGATGTCATCGCCCCAACTTACTCACCCTCATCCTTCAAGGACAGTTGAGTTCAACAATGCAATCACGGTTCAGCCTAGTACCACAATGGCTGGTCAAAAAAGCATAGTCTGATGTTGCTCTAGAATAGTTTTCTGTTCAGAAACGGCTTGCTTTCTCGTCTATTTATCATTTCTACTTGATTAGATGAGAAGACCTCAATATGGAAAATGTCATCAGACTGTATTCCCACAAAATAGAACTGAAGCGACTATCGGAAGCAAATGGATTTGGAGCGACTAATCATCGGCAGTAACATTAGATCCATGGTCATAGGCGTTTTCAAAACGACCGGATATACACCAAAAATTATATTATTTTCATAAAGGGAATATGTGACAATAGCCCGAGGAAAACAATATCACTTTATATTAATCTGAAAATCCATTATCATCTCCATTCTGTCGCACGATCGGCATGAATGGGGTTTTCCAGTTCAATCAGGTCGTTGTTTTTGTGCGGCTTCTATCAATACCGTGACAGTGTTTTGCTTACTTAACCGGCAGACCACCTGATTGTTTAGTTGGCACGTCAGCTGAATGAGAAATTGTTTATCTCCCCGTCACTCGGAATTTTGTTAATAGGGCGATATATATTCAATGGAAACGAGCAGAGGAATTTATCGTCTGTGAGGAGACTTTATCGGTCTTTAGTTCATTTCGAAGTAGGACAGTTGTGGATGGTTTAAACTTAGCTTAGCGTTTTCGGAGATCGATTCAAGTTGATTGGGCTCATGCCATGAATTTGAATGACATTCCAATAGAATAAACTTTGGAGATAACTCATTTTTCGTACTCCTTGTTGATAAAGTTATACAGAGTTTTCGTTGAAAAGCAATTTTCAAACGCATCGAAGAATGATAATAAACATATATTTTTGCCTCCAAACAATTTTCTTGGGGACTTGGGGAACCGAAGTTGCAAATTATCACATTGTCGTATAGGTTTGGTTTAATGAACAAAACATATTCTGCCTAAGTATCATAGGAGTCATCCAATCATGTGATGTATTTCAGGAACTTTCAGCCCCGTGTTCCCCTAGTGATAAGGGATTTGAGACTACACCCCCTCCCACACCCAAAATCACGTGTATTTTCAAAATATTATCTTCAAATGCTGGTATAATCTATCTATACTAATATAATATGTATGTATGTGGCTCTTTCACGCCTAAACGACTGAACGAATTCAGATAAAACTGTACATAAATACGGCTTATACATCAGCACTAAACAGTGTGTAACAACGAAAACTTAACAGAGCCGTTTTTTAATATAAAAAGTAAGATTTTTAAAAAAAGCTCGGACATGTCGATTTCTAATTGAAGGAGATCACCTTTCAGACTAATCAGATTTTTTGTAGTACGCACCCCCTCGGAGGGGTGCGTCCGACGACCCTTATTTAGATAGGAAAAGTAGNAGGCAACCTTCATAAAGAGGTGCCACTCAATTCACCTAAAATGTAAGGGTGGTAACCAACCCCATCCCCCAAAAAATATCCTCGTAATAAACAAATAATTCTTACTTTTTTACGAAATCAAATATATACGTATTAGTAGGTTGTCATAAAAAGCAAAAAAATGAAAGTTCTGAACGTAATTTGTACCTTGAAAACAATTTGATTTATTTTAAAAAGAGTTGAACTCAATAAAAATACTTTTAAATCTTCAAATTATCTCGAAAACTAATCGTTACAAAAATTTCCTTTCAACAGAGATGTAAAGGTATTCGAAAGACCTTTCCCTATCTAAATGAGGGTCGTCGGACGCACCCCTCCGAGGGGGTGCGTACTACAAAAAATCTGATTAGTCTGAAAGGTGTCTTCCTCTAATTAGAAATCGACGTGTCCGTGCTTTTTTGAAAAATCTCACTTTTCATATTCAAAAACGGCTCTGTTGAGTTTTCGTTGTCACACACTGTATATGGGCTACAATTCACAAAGATTTTGTGTTATTTTGGTCATGATATGACCATAGGTATTGGATTAGTCGAAAATATTCTTGCTCTCTGAGAGCTATCTTGGCCTGCGCTGCCTATACCGTTTGAGTTACATGAAGATAATGTATTATAATTTCCCTGTTATCCAATGAATTTTTTTGGAAATAACAGCAACGTTTTGTGAAAAAAATAAATACGTGTGAATATCACGAAATACCAAGTGTGGTATTTCGTGCTATTTTTTAGAATACTTCCTTTTTCTTTCAAGCCCCACGTACTCAATTAACTATCGCATTCTTATGAGACAAAATTGGTTAATACTTAATGAAAACTCATGATAACGTATTCAAGTAACACTTTTTGTGAGATTTCCACACTGTACAAGAGCTAGATCAGGCATGTTCTTACATGTAGGGAGTTTAGAATGAACATGCTGTAAGGAGTACAAAACGCAACACTTGTTTCTCAATACAACAGCTAGCTCAGGTATGTTCATACGTATATAAACATGCCTGTATTGATAGTTTTTTACAACAGTTTATCTGTTTTGAAAGGGAGTTACAACAAGAAACTGTGATGATCTTCAAGGATCTACCCTTGGGCCTGTTATGATGTTGTTTATGAATAATCTCCATGAAATATTTGATCAGAATAGTGTGGGTTGGGTCAACGTAGTTTGAAAGGGGAAAATTTGCTATTTAATTTCCTTCTAGATGATATCTTACAACAATGTGTTTCTTAAATACGCCTGTTGTCATATAGCGTCATCAACAACTCCAAACACTTTCCACTTATTCTGTTGTTCTTGTCTAAGACATGTAAAGCGACACGAGACTTTATCGATCTACAGAACTGAATATTTGAAGCATGATCATTGGAACGCACTATTACATTACGCNTGAGAGTATTTGCTAGAGCTTCTCCGATTTTTTATATAATACTTCTATGTTGTGAAAGTTTGTGGACGTGAACCATATTTATTGTTTTTGTATTGTTCAACTTCTGTAGTTTTATTTTTGTTTTTTAATTATGACTTAGCACATGTACTCAATGTACCAAAGTATCAAATAAATAAATAAATAAATTACACAATTACTCAATACAATATGATTTAAGACCTTCGTCGGATGATTAAAACCAAACTCCGAACCCTTGTTCATAATAATGGAATATTTATTATCACTAACTATAATAGCCCTCAACATGCTTTTGAAACCGACCACAGAATAAGTGGAAAAAGTTTAGTTGGAAGTTTAGATTGCAAAAAATGTCGAATGAGGTCTATAAAGATCCCAATCAAAAGAACCCGTATTCACCTTCTTACATAATAGTTAAAATAGAAACCCTATTACATCAATAAGGAGATAGGATATCATAACAATTCAGCACTAGAAATTCATCTCTTGAACCTCACTTAAAGGCCTCCATGACCTGAGGTATTGGCATCTCAGATGTAGAAACTTGGTGCTTTTCATCTCCTAATGAACTAAGCAACGTAAGTCAAAGGAGTATTTTTGTTCTGGTGTGTAGACAAAATTACACATTCTAATTTTTTCTATTGAAACTAATATTCATTACTTAATAGATGTCTATCATTTTATCTTCAAGCCAATTTTTGCAGTCTAATTTCAAATGCGATTTTTCTTCTAACTTTCAATTTCATTCGACAATATGATTTCAAAATAAGCAATGAAGATGTAATTGGAAGTCCATTATCAGGTTCCTTATCATATGAAGTCATTTCCCAATGTTATCCAGGAAAAAAATTCAATTCATTTTCATATCTCGTACTTCGTTCAATTACCAAAATTTCAATTTCCTCTCCGATTTGTTTATTCTGGGATTTCATTCCGTATTTTTCCTCGAATTGAACACTCGTTTCCACAGGAGTTTTTAAAGTATTTTCTCTCCGGGACATATGAAATTAACTCTCTGAGGATTCGAAATATGTGACGATGTTTGGGAAACTGAGATTAAATGCGAAGTATTTCAACGCTTCCTGTGAGTTACGGGAGTCAGATGATTTGATTGCGTGATAAAATTGTGTGAAATTAAACTCTAAGGAAAATTGAAAGAATTCAGTTCATGATGTTATATAGACAATGTTGAATGAAAAGTTGATACAAAAAATATTGATTCATACTTTAAATTTCAAAATTTGAGGTGACTTGTGCAAGACAATACTCTGTACAAAAGTTGTACAAATTCATTTCAATATATCTTCGACAAGAAATGAATATATTTCAGAAAAAAAATCCTTTATTTTTTGTATATCTTCGGAATTGATATCATTCGATAATACCCAAAAATAGACAATTTTGCCAGAATTTTATATATTTTCTATATATTAGCTTTTCTAAAATTCCCATGCATAGATTCGAATTTGAATATGCCTCTTCATTTTTTGAATAAAAATAATGAGTATTACCAATTCATCTTCACGACCTAACCGACAACAACATGCAGTATAAATTATCGAGTGAGTGTGACCAGCAGTATAAAACAAAAACCAACACTCATGCAACTGTACGAAAGGAAGTACCATGTGAAGAAGAAAAATCACAGGAAAACGACGAACATCAATGTGAAATCTCGAAGTAATACCTACTGTTATACTCACCCTACGACTGTCCGCGATCTGGGGAAAAACGAAATCAGCCGCGGTGAGTAGCACCTTGTACGGTCCTTTCGTCACCCGTTTCTTTATGAACTGATTTCGTGCTAAGGCCACTGCACCCAAGATCAAAAACACGGATAGACCCGAACATCCCAAAATAACAACGACACTCAACACTTTCTCGTAATTTGTCCTGCACTCGTCGCATTCGTCGAACTGCGCGTGCTTAAGCGACCATTCGTCCAGATTTGCGTGCATTTTCTCCACCGACATGTCACTCGAATTGTTTCCGTTCACGACCAAAAGATGGCGCAGTGTGTTATTGAGCCTGAAGTCGGCTAGCGAGAAACTGAAGTGATTGTCACTACGCGGCGAAAGTGACAGTTTCACTTGTTCGATCACTGATGCTTCTCTGTTAGCACTGGTGCTGTTTCGGGTGAAAATTAGAACGTCATTTTTTCCTAAAATGTTATTATTGTCTTGGGTGGTGTTATGGGGTTCCCCCATGTCCGAAGAGTTGTGGAAGAACCCGAGCCAGTCAGGGAGGTTGGAGATGTCCATGAAGATGGTTATGCTGTTGTACAGGTGGAGCTGAAGATCACCAAGGACTCTAATAATGGACTGGCCGATATCGTCTGCGGAGGTGCATACAATTATTGCTGAAAAAAAAATAATAATTTCAAAATACAATTCCAGAGTCATCAGAAGAATTGTTCAATATCCAGGCACTTTGATCACACTGTAGGTAAGCTTCAGAAGAACTGACTGCTTATAAATTGTAAAAATTGTGAAGAATAATGAATGTATAGGAGGTACGTTAATTCAAACTCGACAACTTCATTTCAATACATAAATTGCAACTTGTTACTATAGTTCATTTTGTGATTTTATGGTTGAGGAGCATGCTGGAAAAAATTGGAACAACTTCGCTACAACGTGTTACCTCAGTGATCGTATTTCTCATCAAATCATTGAAATTTAATGAATGATTATGGAGTGAGAGATGTTGAACTTCCAATCTTCTCCTGATATTTAGAGAATAGAAAATGATGCAGTGCTATGAGAGATGACAGAATATCAGATGCTGCCTATCAACAATGAGATCCCACAGGACTTGTTTCTCGTTTGTAACTTATATAAATGATACATAATGCATATACGAAACACTATGATCCACCTACTCCAGAAGTTACACTAACCAGACCAACAGAAGAGTATCCAATAAAACCTATGAACATGAGCTTGCTGTTCCTTAATCAGATCCAAACTCATCCATTTTTCAAAAATCATCATAAAACAGGCTAAATAAGCTTCGAAAACACAAACTCCATTGCCACCGGAAAAACCCTCCAAGCTAGGATGATCCGCTAAATTACTGAAATTGAAAAACGTCTCAATTGCCTGAACAAACGAGATGATTCACAAAATTACCTTATTCAGGAGATTATTACTGTCACGCATTACATCTCACAACTTTGGACACCACTATTCTGCAAGTCACAACCCCGTTCCCACTACCAATACCACCCTCGCTCCCGCTACTGGCCTGCACCTCCCCTCGACCAGGGACATAAATACCAGACCGTAGCCTATGGACCAACAGTCGACGCTTGGGAGTAGGTAGATTGAGACTCTTGCAGAGACCAGCGATGAATCCTGAAGAGTGGGCAGATTGAGACGCCATTGCCAAGTCACAAAATCTTCACAGCATGTCACTTCCTGGGTGTAGTCATAACTTTTCGATAATGGTTTCGAAGTCGAAACGTTAGAAGTTAATAATCGGACATAACACTCAAGAAAGTGGAGAACCATAGACACGTGTTTCGGGATATGGCCCATCATCAATAGGGTGCAGTCAAGTATTAGGATGGGTAACACTTGGTTAGCAAAAGGAAATAATACGAATGTAAACGCAAAATCTATTGACTAAAACTGGCTTCTGCTGATGGCTCAGTGCATTTGTATCTCTTTCTTTTGGTAATCAAGTGTTCTACATCTTTACACTTGACTACATCCGTATTGATTTCAATTCAAGAGCCATCGGTAGACAGCTGTTTCAGCCTATTAGGCATCAACCGACAATTGCGGTAGCAGTAACTTGGAAAGCTTACTCGGATTGACATCAGAAAACGAATCCGCATGTTTCTAGAAATGATATGAAATTGAAAATCAAAAGATAAATAAATAAGAACCATTCTGTTTATTCCTATATTGATTTCAATTTAAGAGCCACCAGTAGACAGCTGTTTCAGCCTATTGGGCATCGTCAGTACCGGGCAGGCGATTCTCGATTGAGGACAAAATGTGATCAACCCAGAAAAGTACTCATTGAAAATAACTGCGTAGACGGAAGCGAGACATGAGTAGGAGCATCAATGTTTTCGTCTTCACTAAACGTTACCTGAATCGGATTATTTCTCAGAATATTATTTTTCTAGAAATTATTGTTCATAATGTTAATCGCTACCTTTTATGAAATCTAATATTCCACCAGTTTTCTAATATATCTGTCGCTTTTATAACTAGTTTCATTACTTTCCCAAGGAATTTGATTGAGTCCCTGGGTGCAGAAAAATTTAAAACTGACTGACACACAGAATGACTTTGCTTTCGCAAAAATATCAAATTACAAATCACCAGTTCATTCGCCAAATTATAGACTCAAATTTTTGCCGTTGCATAAAAAGGAATAAGTTCCACTCCATCGTTGTTTCAACATAATTATACATTCGCAATTGATTTTTACTTCTATCGCTTTTATCACTATTTTCATTACTTTCCCAAGGAATTTGAATGAGTGCCCCGGTGCAGAAAAATTTAAAACTGACTGATACATAAAATGTCTTCTCTTTCGCCAAAATATCGAATATAATCACCAGTTCGTTCGCCAAATTATAGACTCAGATTGTTGCATAAAAAGGAATGAGTTCCTCTCCATCATTGTTTCAACATGATTATACATACGCAATTGACTTTTACTTTTATCGCTTTCATTACTATTTTTATTTCTTTCCCAAGAAGTTAGATTGATTCCACCGGTGCAGAAAAATTTAAAACTGACTGACACACAGAATGTCTTCGCTTTCGCGAAAATATCAAATTACAATCACCTGTTCGTTCGCCAAATTATAGAATCAACTTTTTATCATTACATTAAAAGGAATCAACTCCTTCCTCTTCATTGATGTTTCAACATGATTATGCATACGCAATAGATTTCTACTCCATTCTCCCAAATTGTTATTCAAATCATAGATAACCGAAGTACAAAGAAATTGGTCGTCATTGCCTTATCGAATTGAACAATTTTTCTTCTCCAATAATTGAAATTTGAATATAATCCATATCAACCTCCCTTGTTCACCGAATTGATATACATGTTTGTCGCAATTTGTTCGTAAATAATATTCAAAACCAATTCCATTGAAATTTTTGGCTACAACACAAATGTTATACTGTTGTTTTTTTTGATGAAGGAAAACTTTTTCATTGAAACTTTGTATTTTGATGACATCCCGTTTCATACTGATTTGCTTCATACTTCAGAAACACACAAAAACACTTTATTCAAGCATAAATATGTACATCTGAAACATTATATTGTAACAATTGAATTAATGGGTGAAACCTTTTTCCATGACAGGAAATTAAAATTTCATAAATGTTCTTTTATAAATGTCATGATTCAGCGAGAGTGAAAAAATCCAATAATACTATAGTTTTGGGTGGAAGATCCATACATGTTATTACAGATTTTGTTCGATCATAATCAAAATTATGCTGCTTCCTTCAGCTTTTATATATGGAACATTGACTGAAACTCATAAAAATAGATCAAACTACATTTCAGAATCTCAACACCATGAATATCCAACGAGATCAGGAAATCTGATAAGAACTGAGAGATTCAGACTAAGCACCTCACAGAAAAATTCATTGAGTTTGAATTTCTATAATAAATTAACAGTTTCTACTATTTCAACCCAAAATTGAAGTAATTTTTTTGAATCACTATTTTTATTCCACAGATGAATTAATGTATATGTTATAAAACATAGGTAATTCGCGTGACTTTGAGTGAGTAACAATTATTCTCATTTCAACATCAGTTGCTTGATGTTTGATTGTTTGATTTTATTTGTTATTGTGTACATTGTTCTGTTATACAAGCATTGTGATTCGTTTATCTGACGATGAATTTATAACTTTTTTGTTTTAACTCGATACAAATATTAAATATAGGATGAAAAAATAACCTTCATCTAATTTAGACAAAATTAGAAATTTTCACAAAATTCAATTTTTCTCNACACACACCATACCTACCTCCTACCTACATATTTTGACACTGTTTAATGGCAAATCTGATCTAGTCGTGATGACAATGGCGGCAATTTCAAAAACGGATGTCAAAATCTTAATGTTATTCTGAATATTTCAATACCATCTACAATATACATAAAACCTTGTGAATTTATTTACGTTTTTTCATGCGATGCGGAATTTAATAATAGGTAAGGAAGTCAATTGCTCGCACTTTGGTCGCTTTGCGGCTGGCTACATTTGATCTCTAGCTAGTTGGCGACGCCCTTGATGCTTCATCTTATTATATTCGGAAATGTGCTGATGAGGTAATAGGACAAGTGTCTTATTCCGAATCTTCGTAGTTCGTTGAGGATGATAGTGTCCGATGCAAGATCGTAATTCTTCCATATACATGGTCCTGCAACAGTGGCGCGGTGTTCCATATCTCAATTCAGGAAACAGATCAAATCTAAATTTCTATAATATCACCTCATTGAACGAGCTAGACAAAATAAAAATATTTGCGGTCACACAGGGTGTTCA